ACAACAGAAATACCTTTGACACTTTCAAAATAATAATAAATGAATTTCCGAGATTCATGTGATCTTCATTGTTAAGAACTGTTAACCGCCTAAAGCATACCTTCGTGACGTTGTGGGGCAGATTGGCATAACGAAACGAAATGTTATGCGTTAAACGGTTACACAGGTTAGCTTTATAGATTTTATTGGTTGATAATGATTCCATTCCAAATCCATTTCATTTGTTGGCTTTCTAAGAGGATCGTATCATTTATCTTATCAAACAATACAGATTATTTTATTTGATAAGTTACATCATACATGGTGACATCTTGTGAATAAAGAAAAGAATAAGGGGTTGAAGGAACAAAACCACGATAGGTTCAAGATCAACGTGCATTGCAGCCTTTCGAAGGAATGTATATGAGGAAACTGGTGAAACGTCAAAATTCCTAAGAACTGCTTGCGAAGTTTTTTGCATACTTTAGTAACAGAAATGGAAAAATTTAAACTAAGTATTTCAAACCAACGTTATTTTAAACAAACGTTTATCTCAATGAGAAGGAATTTCCAAGCAGATTTACGCGAGTCTTTACTAATAGCTGTTAACCGCTTAAAGCATACCTTCGTGACGTTGAGGGGCAGATTGGCATAACGAAACGAAATATTATGCGTTAAACGGTTACACAGGTTAACATAGGTTTTATTGGTTAATAATGATTTCATTCCTAACCCATTTGATTTGTTGGCTTTCTAAGAAAATTATGTAAAATTGTAATCTTTTTGGTTTCTTCCTTTCAGATAGTCCTTTTTTGAGCCTCATAAACCAGATTCCCACCTTAACAACAAGTATCAAGGGTAACTAATCTAATTATAGTTCTAACCTTACAAGTTTCTGAACAACTGCTAATAGCTCGCAAAATGAATTGATACCAACAAAATCTACCATCCATTAACCACTTAAAGCATAGCTTCGACGTTTAGGGGCAGTTTGCATAACATAACGAAAATGTTGTGCGTTAAGTGGTTTATGGAGTGGTATCAAAAACATAATTGTGACAACAACAACTTATTTCGTTTCAACTTGTCTCATATTCTTTTGGGGAAGTTTTTTTTGTGTTGATATTTTCCTTGTTTCTTTACTTATCCGTGCAAAGCTTCTCTCCTGAAAAAAAATGATGATTTATTATTTCATAATATAATAGGTGCCATTTTCTTTACATACCTTTTGTAAAGGTACAAAGTTAGTCCGACATGGCGATGTACGAGAATGCATATTCTCTGTCGTGGAGAGTAAACGCAAGGTAGAGGAGAGTTGCCACCTATCACCAAACGACGAGATGGTGGTGTACGAGGAGAAGATTAAAAGACAAAATAAACACCACGTTCAGTGTAATAAACGAACATTTTGTCTATAATTGTATAGCCATTCGGATTAAAACGGGCTCCTGCGACATTTCAACGGCTTATGAATACCGGTTTTCACGGAATTAAGTGTTTCATTTATTTGGACGATGTGGTTGTTTACGCAAATAACTTAAGGGGTAATACCACTGTACATTTTTTAAAAAATCAAAAAATATTTTCTTGGCTTAAAAAATCCTTCGAACCTTGTAGAATACGGGAAAATAACTTTAATACGTAAACAAGTTTTTTTTTTCGAAATTTCGAGTTATTTACTGAACTCGTCGGGCGGCTTCGAAATGACTAAGTATTTTTATGCAGAAACATGTTGTTAGTACGCGTCGATATTGTATCAGTATCGGTACATATATGAAAAAGACGATTTCCTCTTTGAAATCAATTCAGCGTTTGTTTTTGCGTGTAGGGATATTTTAGTTTTTATGTAATTTCGAAGTGTAAAATGAGTGGTAGAAAAGTTTATATGCGGCAGAAAGGTACGAAAGCATCGCATCAAACACGATTCCGAACCAACGCGGCGAAAAAACGACCGATGAACAGATACGAGGTTGAGGGTAATCCGAAAGGAATCAGTGCTTCTGCCAACAAGTTAAAAACGTCTCATGAAGATTTCGACGTAAATTCTGAATTCGGCTATAGAATTATAAATTTATTTGCAGTTTTTCAACGATTTCACAACATGTCAAGTGTAAAAAGTGTAATTCCGACATTACTTTTCACTTGCCCTAAATGCCCAGAAGTTGTAATTCCTAGTTGTAAAATGATAAAGAATGCATATGAAATTAATCGAAGAATAGTTCTGGCAATGCGATTAATTAACGAATTAATCACGTCCGATTTTCCAATCTTTCTACGACAAATTAGTAAATGTAATTTTGATCGCAACTTCATCAGTAAGAGACGCCAGCATGAAAGAAGCAGGACAAAAAGAGAAAAAGATGAATGAAGAAAATGGACAATATCAAGGAATAACGGTTTCCGGTGATGGTTCTTGGAGAAGGCGCGGATTTTCTTCTCTTTTTGGAATTACGTCATTAATTGGTTGGTGTACTGGACAAATAGTTGATGTTGAGGTAAAATCTAAATATTGCAAAACTTGCGAACACTGGAAGAGTAAATTGGAAACATCTCAATATGACGAATGGTATAAAGCACATGTTGATGTATGTGAAGCAAACCATGAAGGATCATCTGGCAAAATGGAAGTTGACGCAGTGATCGAGATATTCAAATGCTCAGAACAGTTACACGGGTTCAAATACTTAAACTACATCGGGGATGGTGATAGTAAAACCTTCAAAGGTATCGTCGACGCTGATCCATACGAAAATTTAGTAGTGCAGAAGAAGGAATGCATTGCGCATGTACAGAAAAGAATGGGTACGCGACTACGAAATCTAAAGAAATCATCGAAAGGCCTCGGAGGGAGAGGAAAACTAACTGCCAAATTATTAGACGAATTGACAATTTACTATGGTTTGGCCATTCGTCGGAATCCACAGAAATCCACGGAAGAATGAAATCTGGGCGACCTTATTTCACAAGCTGTCAACTGACGAAAATCCACAGCACGAGAAGTGCTTGGGATCTTGGTGTAAGCCCAAATATGGGCTGTGAACTGTTAAGGTATTAAATAGGCAATGAACGTGTTAAAGCACTTTTATGATTAAAACAATTTTTTATAATAAAATACGAATTTATTTATACGTGTTTTTTCAGGTCATTACTACTCGCGAATTTCATTATAACAAAATGCTTACTGGAATACAATGTAACCTATTACGACCATAACCCAGAAATCCATTTCAAGAAGTTAGGAGAAATGCGTCTTTTCAATAACAAGTAGAAGTTAATAACATATGTAAATATAGATAGCCTTTATGATAAGTTTAAGCATGTAGAAAATTACCATAAGACGATTATGATATGCGATGCTTTTAAAAAATCCACTAAATATAGTTTAAATCAAGGACAGTAGAAGCTAACAGGACTGCTACATGCATTGTATTTTTGTAGCCCGCTACGGGTTGGTTGCCCGCAGTCTACGTCACAGTATTTGCCACGCCTGGTAACTGTCTGTGTTTTTAGAGGTTATATGATAGACATTAATACGTCTAAAAACATAAAACTTCAAAAATAATAGGAATACGTCTAATATAGGATATAACCTTTAAAAATACACAGCAAACGCATAGACCATAACAGCTGGGCGTGGAAAATGGTGTGACGTAGTTTGCGGGCAGGTTGTCACAACAATGGATGTAGCAGTCCTGTTAGATTCTACTGTCCTTGGTTTAAATAAGATAAGATTAGAATTGCAAACATTACATGAATTATTAGGTCATAGCACCCTTAAGTAGAAATTTAATATGGGGGGATCGTTTAATATTGTGGGTAAAACCACTAAAATATTATTCGGAATCTTAAATAATGACGATGCACAAGATTACGAGAACAAAATCTCTGAATTTGCAAAAGACCAAGCTTCAGTACCCGACCTCCTAAAACAACAAACTAAAATAGTACAATCTACTCTAATTAATTTTAATAACACCATAGGCACATTAGATTTCAATGAAAATGTCCTATGAGACAATATCGAAAGAATCTTAAAAAGATGAAATAGTAACTTTGCAGAAGTAGAATTTTTTAAACTTAAATTAGATTTAGAAGAGCATGTCACAACTACCAATATGATTTTAAATCAACTAAATCAACCCAACCCAACCCAACCCAACCACTGCAATTCTGGTAGCCAAAATAGGTATTGTAGACCCTCCTATTGGGATTGGAATTTTCCATACAGGACAGCGGCGAAGATATAACAAAAACTGCATACGCTGACGACCACGCGCCATATTAGTAGCGGTGAGGAGAGTAGATGAGTTCGTGGACACCATGCAAAGAACGATAGACGAGTCGACAAAAAGCCTGAGATAGATAGGTTTGGAGATGGCGGAAGAAAAGACTGAACCAGTAATATTTAGAAGCAGAAGACACGCGGAGGAGATATCTTTGAGAATTAGTAATCTTAAGGAACAATCCCCGCATTAGCAATATGGAGAGGGAGCCAGGTGAAGGTGGCGCATGGCGGCGTTGAAGGCTGACAGGAGTAGGCTACATGGAGTACAGTATCCCTTACTGTACGTAGGACATGGAGGAGAGTGTCATGGAAAAATAGATGGGGATGTGGAGGACAAAGAAGTTGATTTCAAATATCAGGGTGTGGTGCAGGATGATGGGCTTGCTTTAATGTCAACCTTAAACAGTGAAATTGACATATGTCAAACATATTGACATATTGATTCAAACAGCATTATTTCGAGAAACAGCGAGGTGGCGCGGATATTGTGGAGAAGATGATTTATGGAAGTAAAGAACCGATGGAATAGACGGTGTAGTGTTGGAGAAGCCCCGCCAGATGATGCCAAGAGGCACCTTCAAAGTGGCGAAAATATGGTTTTTTAATGGGTGAAAGACCCACACAAAGGGGTTACCCCGGCTACCCTGAAGGCTGTTTAGTTCTCTCTGAACTATTATTCATGATGGCTCGCTCACCCTATTTCGGTATAACAAAGTTTAAAATAATTTTAACATCATATTCAATAATTAATATTATCAAACATGTAAAATATAAAAGATACCAAAATATTTCGACTTTGGTGAATAGCAATGAATTGTCCATTAACATTGCAATATTTCTGAAACTAAATGATGTTACAAAATTAATAGTATTTCAAATATCAAAGTAACAAAAAAAATTACCAACATAATTTTGCTTTGTTAAAGCATTAAAGGTTATATATATAGACTAAACTAGTACAAACACTTTTAACGAAAGTAATAATTTTTATTCATTTTATTCATATCATTTTTTTTCATCATGTCATCATATATCGAAAAAATAATTTACTCGCGACAACAACGTTATTTTTTTTCGATTTTAAGGTGAAGAAAAAGAAGAAGTAGGGAAACATTTAAAGCAATTTAAGACAGACTTACACTTGTAATTCCGCTAATTCTTTCAACAACTCCGTTTCCGCTTTAATCTTCGCCACTTGATTAATTTCTAGCTGTTTTCCTTGCGCCTGTTGAGCTTTTAACTTTTCGATCGCCTGCAATTTCTTCTTTAAATTCTTTATTTTCTTATCTTTATCCGGATCGCCCGTCAAGTTTACCTCGATCTTTGCGATTTGAAGCACGTCATCGTCACCGGCTTCTTCAGCTTTTCTCGCTTTCCTTGCTTCTCGCTTCTTTTTTTGTTTTAAAGCGGTTTTCGATGGCGCGGCATTATCTCCACCTGGTTTATGGGGTTCTTCTTCGTCGTCGTGTAATTTAAAATTAATAACGCGATTCCGTGCGGACGGCGGTCGATAAACTTGCTTTGACGCTTGCGGTTGACTTGAAGTGATTCCTTCGATTTTTTCATCGGTTATAATCGGATCTTTAAATTCTCCTAATGGGAATTTTTTCCAACAGGTTTCGTATAACTCTTCATTTTGATTAACACTTTTTTCAAACATTAAAACACCGGAATAATGCCAGATTTTGTACCCATTTCCGATTCTTAATCTCGGAGCGGTTGTTGCTGTTAAGAAATGTGTACCATCAGGTGACCATTCTAAATAGGTCGTATCTGAAGCGTCGCATTTTCCGATTAGTTTTTTATTATTCGTGTCCCAAATGTCAATCTGGCCCCTTAAATTACCGAAACCACCCAATAGTAATATGTTGCCTTGGGGATTATAATAGATTGAATTTCTGGGTCCAGTGCCTAATTCAAAGACTGGCTCGCATTTTAAATTGAACAAAGTCGCTTTTGCAGGGGTAAACCCGTAAATAACACAAAACTCTTGACTTTTTGGTGACCAAGCGACATTATAAATCGGCCCATCTTTACTCATATTAACCATTGCGGTTTGGTTTGTATTCGATAAAAAATACAAACCTTGCTTGCCGTAGTAGGAACCCCCAGTTTTATCGACTTCCGTTATCGTCAGTAACAGGGCGCAATTTCCATTCGGGTTCCAATAAAACTCGACTTTGTCAGCTTGGAAGAAACTTTTACTGGCTAGTGCTTGTTGGTTTTCGAAAGCGGGATACTTGAACATTTTGCCAACCGACGGTTGACCTTGTCCACCGCCTACAGTTTGACACAACACATGATAAGTATCGATCATGGGTGAGATGCTGTAAGAAACAATTTTCGAAGAATTTATTCGGTTTACGATTCGCTCGAAATTCGAATTTTCGTAGAAAATTACGTCCGTGTTTACAATCCGGGCGCACAAAAACTCGTCCACGCTCCATTGCGGTTCCCTAAATTGAAGAAACAAAATACATAATTAGAAACATAAATCTATTTGATGCTATTTTAATACTACTATTATTTAGTCAACCACGTTTACTGGTTTCTGCGACTATTTTTACTTTATATCTGATTTCAATACGAAAAAATCCCACGCCAAAAACTTTTTCTGTATGACAACAATATCTTAAAAAAATATTTTTATTTTCTAAATCGTTTTTTCGATTTGATCGAATCATTTTTTAAATAAGCTATTTAACAATTCTCTTTAACTAATAAGTTTCAAACTAAATAGAATCTCGAATTTTAATTCGATCGTGTCAAATAATGCAATCAGAACTGCAAAAAATGAAGGCATTTCCTTCACATTACCTCTAACGTCAAATTCTGAAAAAATCAGAAACGTTTCTACGAACAACATAATATAAGTAATATTTCAATTTTGAATTAGGGTGAAGCGCACCTGTATGTATTGTATTTTCCTTTTGAGAATGTCTACTTCCAATATTTCAATAATGTCAAGAATTAAGATTTATTGTAATGAACATAAAGCAATGCATAGTAGCTTAAATATTAGTTTAAACACTTATAAAAGACTATAGAAAAAGAATCCAGTTCCTCTTATAGTGCTAGTCAACTAAAAGGGGCATTCGGAAACATAAATCAAAGACAATGCAGTATTCAAAGTGGTTCAACGAAGTTCAATGCTTGATTCTTCAAACACATTTACGACGTACTAGAGGCTCAAAAAACAATTTTCAGGGAAGATTGACGCAATCAATGATGAAAGATATGAAAGTATGTTACTTTAAATAAAATAAAGACGCCCTTCAAAGACGGCATTCCTTAATCCTTTTAAAGCACGCAGCTATCCTGCCACGTTCACTGCCAGAAATGGGTGATATGGTGCGTTATATAGGCCTAAGACAACTTTAATGAAAGGAAAGCGTGCAGAAATATTTATGATTTAAGAGTTTAGTTGGATTGCTCATTTTATCGAAAATTGGCAAAATTCTGACCCATGATCGTTCACTCGTAGTGGGGTTTTTAATTTTAGAAAAGTGAAAACGCACACATAACACGGCAACGACACTTGGGATGAAGAAATTCTGTTGTTGTATGGTAGGAACAAATCCAACAACTTGAGGAAGAGTGATTTCGGAGAAGTTTTTAATAGAGATTTGACAATAAATAATATACGTAGTGTCTTCAGGGCTACTAGGATCAATCCGTTCGACCCGTTAGGGTTCGGGCAGCAGTATTCCATACAACAAATAAGACAAAGTTTTTAGTGTTCGGTGCTCCAAGAGAAGGAGACTCATCTTTTGACTTCAGTTAATCTGAAAACTATCTAGGCGTCCCCTTCTTGGTAGAAATACCATTAGAAACAGACAATGCTCATGATCAAGAGACTCCATAGTCAACTCATAACAGTTTCAACCAGAATGACAACCCAGCATAATACGGTACGAATTATTTAAGATGTTGAAAACATTTCAACGTGTCCGATGCGGAATAACAATTACAGCTATTGGAGCCGTGCTAAGGACTTGGTCTTAAACTGCAATCACAGTCTAACTAGATCCGAAATCAGCAATAAACGCAAAAAACAACACATTTAAAATATTATTTATATATTTTTTCCTGGTTGAAACTGATTATTAAACACTTAATTAATTTCTGTTCAAAGAAAGCTATATTTCATATTAGTGTCGGTTAGGATGATAAGTTCTGTCCAAAAAAGACTATTTTACTCTTATTTTTTTGTGTACGAATATTTTGTTTTCTGTTGGTTTCCTCATATGATTTCATTTAATTTGTAAGAAAATATACAAAAAATTACACTTTTTGTATCAACTTCAAATGCACACGCAAAAAGTGATGACCATGAAAGTCGAGCAAGACACCTTTTTAGCAAGGCTTTTGGGCCCTTCAGAACCTAAAAGAAAAGGGAAATCTAGTCCCAGGTCCTGTACAGGAAACCGTGCTGTTAGTGGTACTTACTATGTAATAAACCTTCAAGGCATAAAGATGCAAAAAGTTTGTAGGTCCTGTAAGTTTGTTGTTTTCAATGTTTCAAGAAAAAGGCTCCAAAATTTAAATAAAGTTTTGATAGAAGGTGGAATACCTAAAGAAAACCGCGGCAGTGATAGAAAGTCAAATAAAACAAAGGATAAAAAAGGATAGTCTCAGAAAGTCTTTGAATAATGGTGCCAGTGCTGGTAGCCAGTGAAAGCCACTACAACCGAAACAAAAGCAAACGCATATATTTATCTTTAGAATTAAATTCCAAGAAACTAAGACAATATTATTATGATTCGGTCACAGCTGATCTCAGAGTTTCACACACAATGTTTTATGAAATTTTTTACAAAGAATACAACATTAGTTTTAAAACCCTGCATCAGATGTCTGTGGTACTTGCATTGTTTAGAAAAATAAAATAAAACTTGAAAAAAATCCTGAAAAAAAACAGCAATTAATGGCGGAGAAAAGGAGTCACTCTATGATTGTCAATGCATTTTATGCTATGATTCGTCAGGATGTACCAGACAGTATAAGTTTGTGTTTTGATATGGAAAAAGTGCAACCGTTACCAAAAACTCTTATGCAAGATGCATACTATTCAAGACAAATAAGTTTATATAACTTATGTGTTGTAACATTGAATTCACAAAATCCTACATTCTTTACATGCTTAGAAACACAATCTGGGAGAGGGTCAGTTGAAGTAGGATCTACATTATTCACCTATTCAAAGGACTTTTTTAAAAATTACCCCATCCCGATAAGGCTTTTTATGTTTTGTCAAAACGTACGTTATGACATAAGATGTTTCAGCTGCCATTTTGGATTGATGTATAGGCCTTTTTAAACGAAACTTGCTGTGCGGTTAATTGAATTTTAATGTTATCGATCATTGCCATAATTTTCTGCTAAATTCTTACTACACATTTTAAATTAAAAGATTTGAAATGGACAAACGGCACCTGGTCTAAACAAAGAGATTTGCTGCCCAGATGGTCGGAGAGAGTTTTTTGTTTTAGTAAAGTTATAAAACTTTATTGCTCCCGTTGTTCAGCTTTCGACGTGAAAAGGAAGTTTCCGCTGAAGCTGGAAGGGTCGACGTTCTATAGCTCTATTGTTTGTCCTTCAATAACCGGAGAAACTCTCTTTGTTGGTTTATTAGTTAGGCTATATAAACCATCCTGACCTTCTCGAATTCTAAAGACTTTCCACGGATTCATTTCTGTTGTCCAGATCTAAAAGTTAATTCTATTCCAGGTACGAAATTTGGCACGGTATTTGTTTTATATGTGAAGTAAAAATGTCTGAAAATAGTTATACTAGAAGTTAGGAAAAGATTTTTGTTTATATCTCAAAGATGAAAACTGCTGTCGTTATATGTTAAATGTTATATAAAAATACGTAACTGTACCTTATTTTGAACTTTTTCCATTCTATGACAATATTAACATAAGTTTAAGTTATTTTCACCGAAATCGGTCTGACACAGTTGTGACACTTCCCTTGTTAGTACAGAATCAAAAATAATGTAATGTATAATGTAATTTTTTCTCGAAAATTTTTTCATGTAACCAATATTAACATTGACTGTATTTGATTCAGAAAAAAATCCTCTTTCATATTTCGTAATAAAAATGAGGGATTGCCATTTAAAAAAAATATCGATGACGTCATAATTTTCTTAAAAATGGCCGTTTATAACGACTTCATCGCCTATATCCGTTACTTTTCGAACATACTGTATATTTAAAAAATAATTAAAAAGAATGTCATTTGAGGAGCCGCGTTGCGTTACCAAGAACTTGTATTTCGTAAAGCAAAACATTTGTTTTTCATTATTGAATATCTGCATATTGGATCTTGTTTCCAAATGGATTTTTATCGGTTCATTTTTATCACATAACAAAATTTTGATTGGTCTAAAATGATGAGACTGCAAGTTGGGGAAAGCGATTTAAAAAGAATAGTTAAGTTAAAAAAAATTAGGGAACTTTTCAAACAGAGCATTGTTGCTAAAAAATCGATAATTTTTTTTAATCGATGGGAAATGACCTAAATAGACCGCCACAATAAAGAAAATAAAAGTGCAAAACTTACGGACTATTCAATAAAAGTTTCAATGTGACGTCACCAAAGAAACAAGGTTGCTCTTTGGTTTTCAACACACAACGACATAAAACGTCTTTATTTACCATCTACCTGTTTATATGGATCTACCTGAATGGCAACGTTTTTTTCATCCCCCCCACTACACCAAAACCAGCCCAACATTTGGGCAATTCGTATATAATTCAATTTATATAACTTATAAATTATTATATACTATTATTTTTATTACAACGTCTTATTTGGGCGATATACCATCGATTAAAAAAACTTATAAATCAGTAAATAATGTGGATCTGAATATTAACCCCTTGAGTATTGATTTATTTCTAACGTTATTCATATCGATGACGAGTCTCACTAGTCAAATAATGTACCCAAGGGGTTAACGCAAAATAGCACCAGAAATAAAAAAAGACAAAAGGAAGAAAAAATATTTGATAGTTACCTGAATAAAAATCGAGCAACCAAAGCTGTCAAACGGCTACAACGAAAGATAGCCTCTCAACGAGAAATATATCCGGATACATCCGCTGATTCCACAGAGTTTTCCAAGAACGGGATTCAAATCCGTGTATCACGAATAAAACTCCCCAAACAAACTTCACAAAAAGGAATTATCTCAGATTAAATCACGTTTCCACCTTGAAGAGGAAGATCTACTTATTATGAGCAACTACTACCCCAACTGTCGACGATCACTCGACGAGTGTTGTACCGGAAAAGGAACGCCACCACAGGACCGTGCGCCCTCCATACGCCTTGAACCCCGCCACCTAGCGTTTTAATAATGTACCAATCACGGTTCGATTCCAAAAGATGCGATCATAAACAGGAAAAGAAAAAAGTTTTAAAATCCAATAAATAACACACAAAG